CAGCCCTAAACCGTGCCAGAATGCACATGCCTGGGACATCAACGCCTCGAATGAGCGTGACCGTTACGTTCTGGCCATCCTACATCGTGCCAGAACACCGTTCTTGGAACTTCACATCGCGAATAACCATGGCTGGTGCGTCCTGTCATCCCGAAGCAGTGCTGGAACTCAACTCCTGAGACTTCAAGCGTGCGAATCCTTGCGTTTTAGACGAATGTATACGGCGCTAAGGCGAGAGCCTTATTTTGAAAAGGAACCGCCTTCCATCTTTGAAACTGCTGCAAACTTTTGAGACGAATGTGCGCGGCGCTACTGCGAGAGCTACATTTTGGAAACGACCGCCCCCATCCTTGAGTCTGCTGTGAATTTCAAGGTTCACGATTGCACGTGGTAAGGGTGTTTCAGGCGGAACGCCGGGCACGCTCTATCGATATGTCCGGGGCTGCGACAATTTAAATGGGGAAGGGATGGGGTAGAGGATGAGGCGGAGGAAGAGGAGGAGGAGGAAGACCAGGACGAGGAGGCGGAGAAAAAGGGAGGAGGAGGAGAATGAGGAGGAGGAGGGCGAGGACGATGATGATGATGATGATGATGATGATGATGATGCTGATGATGCTGATGGTGATGATGATGATGATGATGATGATGCTGATGATGATGATAATGCTGATGATGAAGGTGGTGGTGGTGATGGTGATGCTGCTGCTGCTGCTGATGATGATGATGATGGATGATGATGATGATGATGATGATGATGATGATGATGATGATGATGATGATGATGATGATGATGATGATGATGATGATGATGATGATGATGATGATATGGATGATGCTGATGCTGGTCATGCTGCTGCTATGATGAGGATGGTGATGATGATGTTGAGCTGGTCATGATGACGTGATGATGGAGGTGAGGAGGAGGATGAAGACGATGCATTTCAGTAGTCGTAGTCAGTCGTAGTCAGAAACTGTTCACACGTTGTTCGATCGCGTCTCAATCACTCAATCAATAATAGTTATAATAATCATAATAATAATAGAAACAAGAAGACTGGTGATTATTTTCTGCAAAACATAATGATAATAATAGGAAGACGAGTCGTACCAATCAACATAATAATACGAATAATAGTGCTTTTGCGGCTTCAGGTGAAAAGGGGGCTGCGCCAGCCGCGGACGTCTTTGGGGGGTGGAGTTCGGGGTTCGGCTTCTCGGCCAGAGGCCGGGTTGCAGGGCGCGCGGCTGCCTCATTGAGCCAGGTGGTGTAGATAGCATCGCGCGGTGGTCTGTCACGGAATACCCCTTTAGGCTTCCAGCGGGGCTTGCGAGCGAGGCATGTGGCACGATGCAGCAGTGGAACGGCCAGGAAGAGTGCAAGCAGCAGACATCGAGGATGCATATTGCATGTTTGCTTGCCCGAGTCGCCGTTTGGCTCTGCCAGGTTCTCTTTTTGCTGGCTCAAGCTTGGTGGCTCAAACCGGGTAGCTTTGGCAGAGCAGGCGACCGCCACAATGGATATTCGACCCGTGAAGGTACCCCGGCTGGTTCCTGATGTTACAGTCGGTTTCTTCGCAAGGTCGGGCTTGCGAAGCACTAGTGGCGCTTCTGCGCTTTGCCATGCTGCGCCCCGTCCAGCATCCGAGATCAGCCCTGTGGCCCTGGGTTCCTGTCTGGACCGGCCCGGCGGGCCGACCAGCGCGGGCGCGTGTTCTTCTCTGGAAGCCCGCACGGCTTCCTCTGGGGTCCAACAAATGCGCCCCGCAGTGGTTAGCCAGGGCCTGGCCCAGGTTGGTGAGGACTTGCAGGCTCAGGGGGCTGGTGCTGTGACAGGTGCAGCTTCAGGCACGGCGCGCCCACAGGAGTTTTCAACTGAACCTGGCTTGGGCCCCGATTTTCGGTTGCCACCGGAGCCCTCGCTTTCGGATGGGTCGGGAGGATTGCCCGGTGCGGGGTCTAGCGCTTCCCTGGAATCCCCCGGGGGTTCCACAGGGGTCGGGCATGGTCTTACTGCACTCGTCGGCTCGTGCCCGCCCATTTCCGGAGAGGCCCGAGCGGCTAGCGGGGTTAGGCCGGCGCCGAAAGGCGATGACAGACATGATGGGTCACCGGCGTTGCACTTCCTTGCGGCGCTGCCGCCTGCAGAGAGGACGACGTTGCTGTCGCGCGGCATCCGGTCGCAGCTGGATCTGGCGGGCCTTGCGCCCACTGCTGTTCATAAGATGCTTGGCACGCCTTCGGATGCTTTTCGTTTGGCGTGGGACCAAGCCAAGGGCCACCTCGCATCAGCTACCTCTGGGGGAGAGCCGTCGATCCCCATCCATAAGCTGTTCCCGAAGCGGACCGTCGAGGTCGAGGCCAAGTTGCGGTGGCAGCTGGAGCCGGGAGGTAGGCAGCGGCGGCCTGGTGGGACAGGCGAGTGGCGCAAGCCCAAGGTCAATGTCACACAGGACGCGCTTGATCTGCAGAGGCGGCAGAGGGCGGCAGCGCGGCTGATGGTGATTTTGCGGGGCAATCTGGACCACAGCACCTTCAGGGCCGAAGCGTCGGAATCAGGGACGGACAGGTGGTTGGCGCATTATGAACGCGTCATGGCTACTTCTTTCGAGGCCGCAGGCATGTGCCACGCCGCGCGCACATGGGAGCGATGGGTCAAGTGGGGGCGGAACCACGAGTGTCTGGGCGCCATTGTCTTTGCTGGGCCCACCGCGCTAGAAGTCGCCCTATGGCTGTCTGATGTGGCCGGGGGAGGGCCAACGGCGGTTAGGGGGGTCCTTGTTGCATTGCGTTGGCTCCAGGCGAATCTCGGGTTCAATGGCCTGCCTCTTGACTCGCCCCTGCTGCGGGGCACGACCGAGCAGCACCCGGAGAGGGTGTTGAGACAGGCCGTTGAGCTGCCATTCAAAGTTTGGGTCCAGTATGTCCATCTTGCGTCCAAGGGCAAGGGGGCGATCCAACTGATGGCGAGGCTCATCCTGTACGTGGCCACGATCTCGCTGCGGTTCAAGCATGCCCAACGCCACTCCTTCCAACATCAGTTGTGCAGCTCCCGCACGCTGGTGGGAAGAGTGTCGAAGGGTAAGGTGTTGCGGGGCGCGGCCTTTTATGTCGCAGGCCCGACATATGCAGCACCTGGTTGGCGGGCATTTGGTGAAATGTACGCAGTGCTGAACAAGCGGATCCCCGACGCCACTTATCTGATCCCAGATCTCGTCCTGCCTACGGGCTGTGCGGTGGATGAGCTAGCGGACTTCATTGAGCGGCCGATGGGCTATGCTGAGTTCACCGGCTGCCTAAGGTCCCTAGCGATGCGTCCACCCTTGCAGCTGGCTCGGAGCGAGGTGCGATCTATAACCACTTATTCCCTTCGCCGCAAGCTCGCGTCAATAGCCGATCGAATCCAGCTGCCCCTCGAACGTCGGGCAGAGCTGGGAGATTGGCGGGACCGCGTGGCTGATGGGCAGGGCGGGTGGAAGGCGACAAGGGAGCCAATGTGTGTTCGGTATTCTGCGGCTCGGCTTGAGACATCAGCGATGTCTCGCCGGGTGTGCCTGCATGCCCTTCACGAGGCGCATTGCGCTGGGGCGACAGACGACGAACAGTTGCGACACCAAGCCAACCACGATGAACTTTACCGGCAAGCTTTGGGCATCCACTGGGGGGAGGGCGCGCAGCGGGCCGTATTTGGCGACGCCGAGCACCCGCAGCCCCGCGAGGACTTGCATGTCGTGGAGGAGCCCGAGCAGGCTGGCGGAAGCGGGTCGTCGTCGAACTCCGATGATACGTCGGCGGGCTCATCGAGCTCTTGCGCGGAGCTCCTCGACCCCGTTGAAGTCCGATGGCTGCTGCCCGGGAACAAGAATTCGAAGCTCCACCTGGCGCGCGACGACGGCTTCGACGAGTCGGCCTGCGTGCCTGCGTGCCGGCAGTCGCCCTTCAAATGGGGTTGTGAGGTTGGAGTAGGGCTGGACGTGGCCGGGCGTACTGGCCGCTCCTGGTCACCCCGATGCTTGCGCCGTTTGCGCCGGCTTGTCGGGCCAGCTGCTGTGCAGCAGCATTGCTGCAGCGAGTGACCGCGAGACCCGCCATCTCAAGCTGTTCAGTGTCGCTCATCGCATCAATCATCGTACATCCTCGTATTATAGCACCGCACTGTATTTCAAACTTGTGTTATATATTATGTTTTACATATATAACGAAACTCGGAGCAGGAGGAGGAGGAGGAGGAGGAGGAGGAGGAGGAGGAGGAGGAGGAGACGGCTGATGCAGGAGGTTGGGCGGCTCCTCGGGGGCCTTGTTGTGAAACACAGATCCCTGCCCAACTCTCTGTTCAGTTCTCCTCAACCGCAAGGGCCTGCGTGGATCTGGAAGTTTGTGCTCTGGCTGGTCCGGCGGGCCACGCGCCCCGAGTGAGACGCAGATAGCCCGTTCGCACAAGCATGCCCGTGAGATGCCTGCCGGCGCGAAGAGACGGACCCGCAATGCCGCAGATATGGATGGAAACCCGCCCGCTCAGCAGAAGGATGTGGCCAACAGTGGACTGAGAATTGTGCTCGGCGATGAAGTGCGGGGGGGCACGATTTGTCCGCCCAGCGTGCCTCATCACAGAAAGGTCCATGTGCGAGGGTCTCCAGGCATCCTTCCCATGCGCGTGTGCACATACATGTATACATAAGTATATACATAGACTTGCATGAACACCCACGCACGCCCTCTGCATCATCACAACCATCATGGCCATGGCTTCTCAAGTTGAGGAATTGGTGATGTCGCCTGCGGGCTGACGTCGCCGACTTCAATGATAGGGTACAGGTGTGGCTATCGTGGCAGACAGTCTGCCATGAGCCACGGCCGATGAGGAGGTTGAGTGGGGATACTCTCGAAACTGGCCTGTCACGGTTTCCGCCGGGTCGCGTCTCGGTCGCCGGGGCATCGGCTCTGATTATCGGGAGGGAGTGCCGGCCGTCTCGCGCTGGCATTCGTCCTCGCTGTCGGGCGAGGGCGTTTGGCGGCTGACGCGCGCGACGGTCTGGACTGTCGGGCGAGAGTGCCGGGCGGCTCGCGTCGACATTTGTCTGGACAGTCGGGCGGGGGTTGTCGAGCGATATTGCTCGACAACACACGTCGGCATTTGTCTGGATGGTCGCGCGGGAGTGCCTGGCGGCTCGCGGCCGAAACGGTCTAGGATTGTCGACGCATTTGGGGCCCGCTGAAGGCCTAGTACAGGCGTCTGATTTTACCCAACGGGCCTCGACAGGCCCAGAGGACATCCGAAAATCGGTGTCCGATTTAGCGTCCAAGCGGACCTGACGGTCCTGCCAGACACCCGGCAACGTCAGGTGTAGTGTCCAAGCGTGCGCCCCGAGGAGCCCTTACCGGGAACTTTGCACACGCACGTGTTTATTCGGTTCCCGCACTGTCCGTTTCATGCGAAGCCAGCCCCAGGACATAGCGGTTGGGCCGACACGCCCAAGTCATCTGATATCGGATGTGCCGGCACGTCGACACTGACATTCCGGTCCTGTCGAAGAAAATGCGCGATACCATATGTTGTCGCTCAAATTTCCTGAGGGGGCCATGTCGTTCCTCGTGGTTGGCACGACCGACCCCTGCCCCGAGGTGTAAGTGTGATGATCAGCTGGCTGCGCAACGAACGTTGGTTTGTGGTGCACCTTCCGTAGTCACCGGCTCGCAGTTGAGTTGCTTCTGCACTGCCTTACTTCGAGTTCTAACCGCGCAGCGCACGTCCGCTCAAGTCAGTAGGCCCACCATGGCGCTGAACAACACGCAGCCTCTGCCAACGTCCATCTCCGATCCGAGAGCTCCTCGCCACGAGTTGGTGCAGCTACTATGGAAGGCAGGGGTGTCCGAGGACGTCATCCTCAGGTACACCGGGGCTCGCAGCGAGGGCGGCCTCGGCTGCACGGCTGTGTCCGACTTCGCAGGCTTGTACACGGAGACTACGTACGAGGACAAGGTTGAGGCCGAGGTGATCAAAATCGAGGCCCACAAGGACGATCCCCTTGAAGTGGCACGAGTGCGGGTGTCGTGGACTCTTGCTCGTTCGGAGCTGCAGCGAGCGCTGCGCCAGCGCACTGAGGGAGCTGGCCCTGACGGGCGCGAGGACTGGGACACGCCCCTGACGACGCCGGAGGAGGAGCAGCGTGCCGATGACTTCGGCAAGGCCTACGACAACCTCGTCTTCGAGAGCGAGTCCCAGCCGCTCAAGACTCTGATTGGGCGCCAATGGCGCGAGTTCGTCTCCTCGACGCGGGCGGTCACTACACTTCGCCTGGAGAAAATGCGTACGGAAGCAGATCTTCAGGGAGTCCGCCAGAAGGCGCCAAAGAAGACGCCTATCGGCGGAGGGTACCACATAACGAAGGACGAGGAGAAAGAGGCCCGGCTCCCTGAGATCAAGATCCAGTCCGTTCTGCAGTTCCTCAAGTGCCTGAAGGTTCTGACCCACCTCTGGGCGCCGTGTGGGGCGGCGCTGGTGGATTCAAAGGAGGACGTCGACAAGGCCACGCATCAGCCCAAGAAGGTGCGGCAGTGCCACTTGGAGGTGTGCGTGCGCTACTACGACTTTGTCCTCCTGAAGCTCCTTGACCACCCGGGTACACTTCACGAGAAGGTCCTTTGGGCGTACGACCGTGACCGGACAACCCGGAACAAAGCCCGGACGTTGTACCAGCAAGGGTGGCCATGGGGAGAAGCTCTCGTGGCGTCCTTCACCAACCACTGCGCGCTGGAGTGGAAGGTGACAGGGGTTGGGATTTCCAGCGGGGCCCCTAACCTCATCAAGCCAGAGGACGACAGCGACGACGACATGGGAGCACCTCCCAAACGACTCGCTGCACCAAAGAAGGGGGCACAGGCCCTCAAGCACAAGAAAACCACAAGCCAGAAGGTCCAGAAGGCAACCAAACGCACCGCCAAGGCGTGTGCGAACTACAACTCGGCGCGCGGGTGCGCGAAGAACCCCAAGCAGTGCCCGCACAAGAAGCTCCACGTCTGCTCGAACTGCGGCTTGTTCGGCCGCCCGGCTTTCAAGTGCAGGAACCCCGCCCCTGGGACATCACGTTGACAAACCCGCCTCCTGGGTTGTCATGATCAGCGGCCCGGGGGGCTCGCCGGTGACAGTGCGAGCGCACATGATGGGAGTCCCACTCCTGTGGAGGCCGCGGCGGGCGCCCCTGCCTCGCCGCCGCCGTGTTCTGCGCTGCCAGCCCAGCCATGCCCCGCCGAGGTGGCGGCGCCCGGACCCGGGCGCCAAAGCGACGCAGCCCCTCCGTGGAAGCGAGCTCGCCCAGCCCAGCCGCGCGCTGCGCCACCAGCGGGTGCTGGGCGCCAGTTGCGCAGCACTGCGCTCGCAGGTGGCCCAGACCCTCCGTGGGCGCGGTCACGCCCGCCCGGGCCGAGAGCCGCACCTCCGAGCGCCGTCGGGCGCCCTACGGGGGTGGCTCCAGCGGGCGCCCGCAAAGATGCTGATGAGAGCGGGCCGGCCGAGCCTTCTGTGTTTGCGGTGACCGTTTTCGACGGCATGGGCGGTGGTTTGGTGGCGGTGCAGACCCGAACGTCCAATCTGCAGTCGCACACCGTTCAGAACCACTCTCATCTCCGTCGATTCGTCCTCGACCACTTTCAGGACTGTGCTGCGTCGGAGCGGCTGGAAGGCCTTGACGTCGACAGCCTGCTCCGCAGGGTGGCCGCAGCAGACTGCGACATAGTGTTTCTGATATGCTGTGCCTGCACGGGGTCGTCGTCCGATCTGAAGTCCGTGGGGGGCGACACGGCCCGGTTCTTGACGGACTTCGTGCAGCTACGAGACCGCATGTCGTCAGCAGTGCGGCGGGATCAGTCCAGGCAGTTCGCTTGGCTGTACGAGGATTCGGCTGGCGTGGGCGAGTCGTACAGGACGCAGCTTTCGAATATCCTTGGTTGCGAGCCCGTGCTGTTGAACGCAGCGGACTGGGGCTGGGTCCAGAGAGCTCGACTATACTGGGGGCTGTCGCTCCCGAGTCTTGCCTCACACGGACATGTCCAGGTCAAGGGTAATCTTAACAGTAAAATCAAACACTTTACGGTGAAAACGCTCCCGGGATGGACCCAGTATGGACAGGCCCACGGAGGCCCTGGAGGTGCGACAGCGTGTCCTCATAAGCACCGGGCATTTTGACTGTGTGGCGGTACCCTTGTTTCCCAGCACACGCGACGATGCAAACAGGGTGCGGTTTATTTTCTCCGCGGGGGATGCCAGCCCATCCTCGGCCCTAGGCCGGCGACCGCTTAGATTGCCACTGCACGCTCCCGGGGTGCCGCAATCGTCCCTCGTGCTGTGTTGCGTGCTTCCAGGGAGGTTGTGATTTTAAAACATGTAGATTTGGTTAGTTCACAGTTAAAAACAACTCTCGTCCAGGTCGTGCCGGCCGGGGTCGCGGCCAAGGGGCTCACCGTGCTGAGGTATACTGGGCCTCCGATCCCGAGAAGTTGGGAGCCATGCGATGGTGCCACATGGGCCTTCAGGAACGAGGTCGGGCGTCGATCTACGACGCCGCCGGGAACTGGGTACGCACCCACATATGCCGACGGCCGCTTCTTGCCCTTCACTGCTATGCGTCCGCACGCCGCGGACCGGCCGCCCCAGGTGCACGTGGAGGACAAACATGTGTACCAGAGGTTCTTGGCGGACGGTCGCATGCAGCCTCTGCACGCGCACGTGCGCGGCAACATGATGCAGTACTCCGATGGGCAGCTCAGGCCTTTGATGGCAGCCGAGCGGGAGGTTCTCATGGGCTATCCCCACGAATATTCTCGTCAAGTGCTGCCTGCCGATGGTTCGGGGCTTGACGTCGAGATGACCAGGCGGAGTGCCGTTGGCACCGCGTCCCACGTTCCCAGCATCGTCATGCTGCTTGGCCTCCTGCTGTTCCCCGCCGGGTGCCCTGCCCAGCGTATGCGCCCATCCTGTCCTTCCCGGGCCTATTGTCTCCAGTGGCAGGAGCGTCACGGAGCGGGGACAGTGTGGGACTCGGAATGGGCTCCGCCCGAGGGCCAGGTTCAGTCAGGAGAACGAATTCTTGAACGTGCATTGCTGCTGTTCCCTTCGGCCTACTTTCGCGCGGTCTCCGAGGAGGTCAGAGAGGCGATGGCCAATGTCGACTGCATCCGGTACGATCTGTTCGCGGACTATCCGGACTACGCCTTGCGCCAGGGCGCCCCGCCAGGCGCATTAGGCCCTGACTTGCAAGCCCTGTGGGCGAAGTCGCCGATGCATGCTTCTGTCGAGCACCAGCATCGCCCAACGATGGCATCAGCTGCGGCACCGAATCTGCTTGATTGGGGCATCGGCCCAGAGGAGCACGAGGCACGCGCGGTGCTATTAGATCATCCTTTCAGCCGCGACCCTCCCGTGGAGTCAGATCTCCAGTTTGTCGTCGATGCGTGCGTTGCCAATGGGCCGCGCGTCAGCCGGGTGCGGCGACGGCGTCTGGAGGTGCTCCAGCGCACGGCGGCGGCGCTGCACAAGTTGGACGAGTTCTCTCTGCGGCTACGGCACACGTATCTAGATTCGGCGCCAGGCGTTCGCCCCGTCTACTGCGCTTTCCTCGTTGTCCTGACCGGCTGGCCGGATGTGGGGCTTCCGGCTCGCTTGGCGCAAGGGTTCGAGCTTGCGGGGGAGGTGCCGGCTTCGACGGTTCTGAGGCCCATTCAGCCGAAGCCTGTCGGCAAGGGCCCCCTAGCTGGAGAGGAGGAGCAGTTGCTTGGAGAATCCGCTTGGCATTACGTGAACTCGGTGGAGGCGCAGACCATCCCGTCCAAGCAGGCGCCCACGATATACGATCTCACACAGGATGAGATCAAAGATGGGATTGCTGATCCGCTGCTGGACCGGGCGGCGATGGACAGACGATTCGGAGTTGGTGGCTGGAGGCCGCTGATTCGACATTGCCTTTGGCAGTCGGGCAAATGGCGGCCGATCGACGACGGCAAGCGATCTCGGACGAACGCGCTGTCCAGCATTGCCGAGACAGTCGTTTGCATCCCGCCAGGGTTCGTCTTGATACTGCTGCGTGCTCTCGCCGTGGCTTTCGCCAGCCGGACTGGCGGGGTGCCGGCTTGGTTCGTCCCTGTTGTTTCCACGGAGGACTGGTGGAAGGGCTTCCGCCAGCTTTTCCCCACCCAGGAGCATGCCGGCCTGGCCGTCGTGGCCGTCATGGAACCGAGCACCCAGAAGTGGAAGTATAGTTGCCTCCGTGGCCTGCCCTTTGGGCTAGGCGTCGCCGTGAACCAGTTTTCACGGATGGCTGCTTTCGTGACCGCCATGAACCGGCGTTTGCTGTTATTGCTCACTGGCCACTATGTTGACGACAGTCCTACTTTGGAGATGGACTGCATGGTCGGCGCGCCGGGAGCAGGAGACAGCGTCGTTTGCCAGCATGCCGCTAGCATGGGGATCCGGTATTCGGACAGCAAGCGGCAGCCTCCGTCGTTCATGTTCGCGTTCCTAGGCCACCTTCACGACCTATGCCGGACAGCGTGGTCCATGGCAGCGGCATGGGGGCCGAAGCTTCTAAGTCGAGAGCGCTTGGTGGAAATGTGCGAGGGTGCCATCCGCACTCAGAGGCTCTCGTCGGGTCAGGCTGCGAAGCTTCGCGGCTTCGCTTCCTGGATGGACTCTTCCCTGGCTGGACGCTGCATGCGCGGCGCAATGCATGCGTTTATTGCTCGGCAGTACTGGGATGGAGATGAGCGGGTGCAGCCTGGCAGCGTTTTGCACGAAGCTCTGATGTACGTGGCCGCTGCTGCTGTGCACATGCCCGATCGGATCGCGGCCCTCCAGCGCCCGACAGTGCCGCCCTTGGTGCTCTACACCGACGCCTCGGCCGATGGTGAACGAGTGCGGTTGGGCGCCAAGCTCCTCGTCCCGGGCGGCGCAGTATACGTCACCATATGGGACGCCACGCCAGAAGCCCGAGAGTCTTGGGGAGAACAGGCAACCGTGATCAACCAGGCTGAGTTGCACTGCGGCGTCCTCGTCGCTGGCACGTTTCCTGATCTGCTTCGCGGTTGCGACGTGCTGTGGTGGATCGACAACACGGCCGCGGCCACAGCGATGGTGAAGGCAGGGTCCCCAACTGTCACCATGGGGAAGCTGGCCTTGCAGGCGCACGCCATGCTGACGTCGCTAGGCTGCCGCGTGTGGATCGAGCACGTGCCCAGCAAGGACAACCCAGCAGACGTGCTGTCCCGCGAAGGGTTGGATGACCCCGTAGTCCGCGAGCACTGCGCGTCAGGTCGTTGGACCTTTCGCGAACCTGTAGTGCCCTCCAATTTTGAGCGCCTATCCTACGATGCGCTATGGAGGTGGGGCCTCTGCCGATGAGCGCCGATGGCATGATATACCCAGCTGTGCTTGAGATGGCACGATGCATCGAACAGAAAAACGCGCTGTGCGAAGGCAGGGTGCTCTGCGTTGCGGGAGGGGGCGCGGGCAGCACGCGCACCGAAACCAGGGAATGAATTTTGGCCACGTTCGCAGTGCAGCGTTGTCCATGCGCGTGTCCTCCTGTTCCCAGCTCTTGGCATATAGGGGCGACGTTGGGGTGATATGCGAGGTTGGTAGGGTGAGCGGCGTTGGGGGAGATGGGAGTAAGCACGGTGAAGTCGATGCTTAATTCGCGGTCTTCCTGTTTGCCGCCCAGGGTCCCAGTGACGGGATCGGGCGGCGATGTTCCAAAGTTCAAGCTCGACCATCACCTTAATCACCCAACTGGTCGCCCCGAGTGTCACGAGTCCGACGGGAATGCGCGCTAGTTATTCCAAGTCTTTCGACTACCGCCGGACTTCCCGAGAGGCTCCACCACGACCCAAAGATGCTTTTGCGGCTTCAGGTGAAAGGGGGGCTGCGCCAGCCGCGGACGTCTTTGGGGGGTGGAGTTCGGGGTTCGGCTTCTCGGCCAGAGGCCGGGTTGCAGGGCGCGCGGCTGCCTCATTGAGCCAGGTGGTGTAGATAGCATCGCGCGGTGGTCTGTCACGGAATACCCCTTTAGGCTTCCAGCGGGGCTTGCGAGCGAGGCATGTGGCACGATGCAGCAGTGGAACGGCCAGGAAGAGTGCAAGCAGCAGACATCGAGGATGCATATTGCATGTTTGCTTGCCCGAGTCGCCGTTTGGCTCTGCCAGGTTCTCTTTTCCCGCAGGCTCCCTCCCGCCCGAGAGGCAGAGACAGCTTTGCAGAGACAGGCATTGGCGAATGCGCCGTGCGTTTGGAAGGACTAGAGGTGTCATGGTAGTGCCCGCACCTGGTCCACGGAGGCCCTGGGCCTCCTAATCGGCTATAGGCTGGGCGCGTGTCCTGGTCGAGCCGCAACGCGGCGCTGCGACGCGGCAGTGGCTTGGGGCCATATTGGGCGCATGCGGCGTGCCAGCGAATGCCTGTGGATGCCGCGTTCCACTTGGTGTGCGCCGCATCGCGCCCAAGACAGGTCTGAGTCATTGATTCTTCCGTGCGCAGCAATTCTGGGACATTTGTCCCGGACAAGGAAGACAGGAGCGAACGAGCACGACTGACCGTCCCCGACACCTTTCTACGGGGGGAGATGGGAGTAAGCACGGTGAAGTCGATGCTTCATTCGCGGTCTTCCTGTTCGCCGCCCAGGGTCCCAGTGACGGGATCGGGCGGCGATGTTCCAAAGTTCAAGCTCGACCATCACCTTAATCACCCAACTGGTCGCCCCGAGTGTCACGAGTCCGACGGGAATGCGCGCTAGTTATTCCAAGTCTTTCGACTACCGCCGGACTTCCCGAGAGGCTCCACCACAACCCAAAGATGATACGAATCATAATACTAATATTACGACTAACAATAATACTACTCAAACTAGTATGAAGAAGAGTGATACGAGTAAGCGTACAAATCATGATACCAATGAGAGTAATAAGACGCGCAATAGTGACGCTAAGACTAAGAAAAAGAGAAGCCGGAGGCTGAGGACAAAGTAGGGGGGAGGAGGACGACTCCTGAGATTTGGCCGACTTCCTGGGCAGGCCCGGTCCGCGAGCCCCTTCGAGCGGGGTGGCCTCCGCAGGCGTCGAGATGCCTCCGAAGCTTCGCAGGTGCCTCCGAAGACGTCCGAAGGCCTCCGACGGCGCCCGCGGGCCTCGGGCCGCGCCCGAGGGCCTCGAGGAGGAGGTTCCCCGGGGGCGGCCCGGGGGCCTCTGGAGGCCAGCTCGAGGCCGCCCAGGGGCCTCTGGAGGGCCCCCGCAGGGCTCCCGGAGGGCTCTGGAGGGCAGAGTGCCCCTGTCGGTGGGCGAGCGGGGGGGGGGGAAGTGAGAAGGGGCGGGTCTTCTCAGAAGGCTCGGGAGCCCCCCGGCCCTCCGGGCAGTTTTCTGAGCCTCTCCCGGAGACGCGGGAGACTTCTCAGGCGCGAGGGCCTCCGAGAAGCCCCGACGCCTCCTGAGAAGGCCTTCTCCTCCTCACTTTCCCCCCCTCGCTCGCCGCCTACTCTGGTCCACCTCTCGCTCTCGGCGATAATCGGCTTGACGCCATCTTGCAGTGGGGACCCATGCCAAGAAACACCCTGGTTTCGCTGTGGAAAGCGAGACGTTCCCGCAGCAAAATTCCATGGACTCCTTGGGATCTCAGGGTTCGGTTTCTTGTGGGAGGTTTCTTGTGGTCGGGCCTCCACGGTAGTCTTAAGTCGGACACGTCCCGCTACAGGAGGAATATAGGAGGAATGTTCAGAAATAGTCAGAAAATAGCCAGGGGACGACGTTTCGACTGTTTTTGCCCATTTTGGAGTAGTGTTGACATTCTTTGTTTTTCTTCGTCCACGATCCGCCTGTAGGAGGACACGCCCGACCTGGCCGCAGCCGTGGCCGAGCCCTCGCCCCCGCGAGGTGCAGGGCCCGGACCTGAAGGGCAACCCCGAGCTGGCCTCGTCCCTCGGCGCGTGCACCGCGGACCTGAAGAACTACACCGAGTCCAACGCGACGCCGCCGCGCGGAGTTGGGGGGCGGCCCAGACCCCCCTCGGGCCACGAAGAAACCACGACGGGAGGCGTGTTTTCGTCATTTTTTCGGCCTCTGGGGACCCCAACGCCCCTCGAGCAATAACAAAAGATCACGACGGGAGGTTTTCTACAGTTTTCGGCCTTTGGGGGCCCTTACCGGGCCTCGGGACCGGGGACTGGGTCCGGGGAGTGGGTCGAAACCCCTGGGGGTCGACGTTACGTGAACAAAATCATGACGTCGGGGGTCTGGGTTCGGGCAGTGCCGAGGGGTGTCACCACCGGGCGTGTCCCCAGCTCCTCCTGGGAATCGAAGCTTCAGGGTCGGAGCTGGAGGAGTGTCTGTTGGACGTGCGGGGTCGTTAGGGAAGGCTCTGGAGCGTTCTTGGGGGCCGGCTTCCTCGGGGAGATGGCGTTTTCTCGAGGAGGCCACGACCCCCTATTGATGACCCTCCTTGGCATTGCTCCAAGAGGGGGTGTGGGCGGAAGGACCGAGGGCTCGAAGATCGAGATTCGCTGGTGTCGGTGTCTCGGAGGCTTTCGGGCGTCTCCAGAGGTTCTCGTCGACGCGGCTGGACGCAGCTGGAGAAGCTTGTGGGGTTGGACTTCAGGGGGGGCTCCGATCAGGTTTTTCGATCGGAGATCGAGGATTTATGATGTATGTTCTTGGAAGGTTCATTCTGTTGCTTAAGACGTAAGGGGCCTTCTTGGATGCCCCTGGGGACCTGCGGCATTTTCATTGTCGCCTCATCTTTGCTGCCACTGCATTTTGACCGTAGATCGCTCGTGCACCGCTGCCGTCTGCGGCTCAAGCGGACAGGAGATCCCACCAGCTAAAGTAGTGTCAGCGCTAATTGTGTGCACCCAGAGGTTGCCACGTTAAAGCAAGAGAGCCCTCTTTCTGTCCCTGCTTCTTTCTCCCTTCTTATTCTTCCTCCCCCTTTCCAGCTGCTGCTCCACTCGACGGGTGGATCACTACGCCTCCAGTCAGCCGCGCCTTTCAAGCATAGGGTCTCCAGTCGCTGGTGGAGTCACATCAGCCGCGGATACGAGCGCAGACCGTTTTCTGGGTCGCAGTGCTGCAGCACTGGTTGCTAAGGAGGTCTTCCCCAGTCTTCCAGCGGTCCATCACTGCCACGCCGAGTCATTTACAAGTAAATGCTGTCCAGTACGGATTGCGAGTGCCTAAAGAAAAGCCCAAACCTGGATGATCTATATATATGTCGATGGGTGTTCTGTTGCTGTCGACGATTCTTAAGCGCAGACTATCCTATCGCCGGAATCGGCGGCATATTTCTGACGTGTATACAAGTTTGCACGTTATCGCAGAGCAGGATTGACCAATCGGATGTCGATCACACGCTTTTCCGTGCTCTGTCGTAAGACCATACCGTAAGTTCGACAGCGCTTTGCGGTATGCCATGTTGGACTGTTTTGGCAGAGGCTCGTCGTTTCTTCCAGAATTTGGAGGCGCTGGATGCCGAATATTTCACATAGTCAAAGCCAGCAAGAGGAAATGCACGAATTAAATCAATAGGTTAGCGTTCAATTGTCTTCGATGCTCGCCTGGCAGAATGGCGAGGCCTCTTTGATCCAGGATTGAGTGGCAATGCAAATGCGCGCACAAAAAGAAGAAACGTTACCCGCACAATCAACTTAGGCCTCGTGAAGCGGAGCGATATGCTCATTCACTGGGAGCCATGGTATCCATGTACCACCATCTGCAGAGGACGATCTTGGAAGCAATGGCCCGACACCAACCCGACATCAATCGAGTAGTTCTGCATGCGCCAACTCAGATTCAATGCGCCAACCGCTTGCCGTGTATCCTTGCTCTCTGGCTTTGCACTGAGGACGGGGAGGAGGAGGAGGAGGAGGAGGAGGAGGAGGAGGAGGAGGAGGAGGGGGAGGAGGAGGAGGAAGAGGAGGAGGAGTAGTGGGAGGAGGAGAAGGAGGAGGAGGAGGAGGAGAAGGAGGAGGAGGAGGAGGAGGAGGAGGAGTAGGAGGAGGAGGAGGAGGAGGAGGGGGCAAGCTAGGTGCGCTAGCGTTACTTCTGACGTCCTACCCCTCCCTCCCTTCCCTTACCATGGCGTAGATCTTCTATCTATTCGCACAGTCGGATGTCAAGCAGGGCAATGATCCCAAGAGGTTACGCGATGGATGGAAAAGCATGGCGTAGAAGAGCACGGTAGAACACAGCATAGCATGTCATAGCATGGCGGGGCATTGCGTAGTGAAGCATTGCATCACAAAGCATAGCAACGCAAAGCATGGCATCGCACAGCGGTGCACAACACAGCATCGCATTGCATGCCGTGGCATTGAACCGACGGAGGCCAGGACCGATGGAAGTGAGACCAGCGCTGCAGCGGGAGCACGATTTAGAAGGACTGGAGCGCGGGAACGAGGCCATGACCGAAAACGTGAATGAGGCCACCGCTGCATTGGGAACACGATTTGGAAGGACCGAAGCACTGGAACCAGGCCAGAGCTACAGCGACAGCGCTACTTGGAAGGACAGAACACGCCAGTGCTGCTGCGGGGACATGATTTGGAACAACTGGAGGCGCGGGAACGAGGCCAGCGCTGCAGTGGGAGCACGATTTTGAATGACCGAAGCGCGGAAATGAGGGCGGCGCTGCAGCGGGAGCACCATGCTGGGCGAACAGGAGACGACCACTTTGAAAAAACATACAGGAATAGCCAACTAATGAAATCTTGTGTATAAACAAAACAGTACGCGGAGAGGACGGGAAACTATCCGGACAGAGTCAGGGGACAGAGGAGAGTATCATTTATGTTGTGTAGTTGTAGACGCACGAGGGTTTCGAGGAGGCAGGAGGAGGACCAGAGTGAGCCCAGGATGCCTCAACGATGCCGCAAGCCAGCCCCCCCGTCCCATGCCGTCCTGAGAAGTGCCTGCAGGTATCTCGCTCCACGGCGTGAGGCGCCGCCCTTGACAGAGGAACGCCCCGTGAGGCTTGCCATTCAGGCGAGGCCCCATGGCTGCAAAGGATCCAGTTTTCCTCGAGTCCTTCCAGCCATGAGTCATAAGCAGTGCGACGCCATGCAGTGCAAGGAGGTGCCCAGCGACAGTTCTGTGCTGAAGAGGCTCTGCCCTCCATCCGTGTAGGCTTTGCGCAGGTTTGAGGAAGTCAAGTGATGGCTTCCTGTCAGCAAGGATCCGTCATCCATCTGTGTAGCCGGTGCACGATTTAGGTTTCCGTGTCGTAGCGTATCAGGACATCTGGAGCGGGAGCTCGACTTTGACAACGAGCCGCCTTCCATCCGCGCACATGTTGCAAGCCTTTCAAGCGGACGTTTGCGGCGTCAAGGCGAGCGTTCCATTCTGAAAACGACCTGTGCTCCGTCAGCGTAAGAGCTGGATTTATTCAAGAAGACTGCTCGCCGCCGAGGCGAGAGCCCCATGCTCGAAACGGTCCGCCCTTCATCCGTGTACGTGCTTTCTTTAGGCGAGTGTGCTCGGCGCCACGGCGTGCGTCTTGTTTTGGGGAACACGACATGCGCTTCATCAGCGCAATAGTTGACACTGTCAATCTGCGAGATCACACATCGTGAGGGCGTGTCAGGCGAATGTGCTACCAGCCTGCCCTGAAGACACGTCTGCTGGTGCGACAGGGAAACTTCATCTTTGAGGACGAGGGATAGAGGATGAGGAGGAAGAGGAGGAAGAGGAGGAGGAGGAGTTGGAGGAGGAGGAGGAGGAGGAGGAGCTTGAGCAGCAGCAAGAGGCGGAGGAGGAGCGGAAGGAGGACGAACACTCGAAGGACCGCGCGCGGGCTCCGCGCTCGTCTCGCCCCAGCCCGCTGGCGGGCCGTTGGGGCCGCGCGCGCGTGTGTGTGTGTGTGTGTGAGCGTGTGTGTGTGTGTGTGTGTGTGTGTGTGTGTGTGTGTGTGTGTGTGTGTGTGTGTGTGTGTGAGCGTGTGTGTGTGTGCGTGTGTGAGCGTGTGTGTGTGTGTGTGTGCGTGTGTGAGCGTGTGTGTGTGTGTGCGCATGACTTATGGCCAGCAGCTGCTGATGGCCCCCGTGCGGCCTTGAGGGCTCGGCCGTGTAGACGCGCCCGCGTGGCTACTGTTTTTCGAACTTCTCCGCCCTGTCGCTTCGCGCGGGGCCGGCGTCTCTGATGCTGCCCTTGTGGGGCGGGGCTGGGGCGAGGATAACTCCGCTGCGGAGCGCGATGGAAGGCTCTGAGGGCGTTCTGGAGCGCTCTGGGAGGGCCGCGGCGCCCGAGGCATCCCCCAGAGCCGCCGGATCTCAGAGCTTCCCGAGGCACGGTCGGGCCGCTGAAGAAGGAACCCTTTTCGTTGGGGAGGGGGTCCAGCGCCGATCCGAGAAGTCCGCGCGGGCCTCCGAGTTTTTATGTTTGTGTCATTCTTCGTTCCCCCATTATCGCGCATCCTTATGATACGGGCCGTCGGTAGACTGGAGGGTTTCTCCGAAGGACTTAGGCGACCCCTCCTCCTCCTCCTCCTCCTCCTCCTCCTCCTCCTCCTCCCTCCTCCTCCTCCTCCTCCTCCTCCTCCTCCTCCTCCTCCCTCCTCCTCCTCCTTCTCCTCCTTCTCCTCCTCCTCCTCCTCCTCCTCCTCCTCCTCCTCCTCCTCCTCGGTGGGTCGCCCACGGCCCCGGGGGAAGCCGTGCACGGCAGACCCCCGACGCAGCCCGCAGGCGACCCTGGGGCAGCTGGCCCTTGCCAGCCACATCCGGGCCCTCTTCGCGGGCGTGGCGGAGCCGGACCCCAACGCCCCGGGGCCTCTGCGCCGCGCCCGGAGGGGCCGCCTCTCTTCGGCGGCGAGCGAGGGCAGCGACAGAGCGATCCCAACGATCACAAGCGATCCCAACGATCCCAGCGATCCCAACGATCACGATAGCTGCGACAACAACAGCGATCACAGCGATCACACCGATCGACGATCACACCACAGCAACGGTAACAACGGCAGCAACTATCACAGCGTTCACAGCGATCAGCGATAACGATCAGCGGTCGCTGATCGTTGTGATCGATCAGCGATCAACCAAAACGTTCAACGGTAAATATCAACGATAAGGATCGTTGATCGTTGTGATCGTTGTGATTGTTGTCGTGGGCTGTGAGAAGGTTGCGGGGCATCTTCGGGGGACCTTTCCTGTCCTGCAAGTGGCAGTCTTCTCCTGCACTCCGATGTGGGTTCGACGCGGATTCGACGTGGAGTCGGCGCGGGGTCGGCACAGTTTCGGCCCGGACTCGACACAAATCCGACGCGTTCGGCACGGATTCGACACGAATTCGATGCGGATCGCGGCCCGACAGGACAGACAAGGTCCCCCGAAGATGCAACACAAAGCAGGAGGAGGCTTTCTCAGAAGGCGGCGGGGCTTCTCAGAAGCCCCTGCGGCCTTCTGAGCCTTCGGTGTTTTCGGGGACAGCTCAGGAAACTTCTCAGAAGGCCAGAGGACGCCCGAGCCTTTGAGAAGGCCCTCCCCCGGGGCTGCAAGAGCCCGGGAAGTCAGTGCAAACGGGGGTCAGTCAGAGCGTTGGACCTTGAAGGATCCTGCAGAGCCAGGGCTGCACTGACCCAGGTTTGTGTGCCAGATCCTGCGTGATCCTGCAGTATCCTGCAAGGCCCAACTGACCCCAGTGCGGATTGGCCCGGGTCAGAGGATCCCCGACTCCCCCTCTCACTTCCCCCCCCCCGGGCTGGACGCTTTCCCTTGGGATACTGGGCCTGTTTTCCACCACCACCACCAGAAGTTGGAGGGGGGAAGGAGGTGGAGGACGAGGAGGAGGAGGAGGAGGAGGAGGAGGAGGAGGAGGAGGAGGAGGAGAAGTAGTAGTAGTAGTAGTAGTAGTAGTAGTTAGTAGTAGTAGTAGTGGAGGAGGAGGAGGAGGAGGAGGAGGAGGAGGAGGAGGAGGAGGAGGAGGAGGAGGAGGAGGAGGAGGTAGGAGGAGTAAGAGGAGGAGGAGGAGGACCCCCTCCTACTCCAACT